ACTCACTAATAGCACAAGAAGAGGATTACAAGCAATGATCACTCAAAGATCAAAAACTCAAGTTTAAGCTCAAGTAGGTAGGTAAAGATATGCAATTTGTTGTAATCCAAACTTCTTCAGATCCATATTTATAATCCCTTGCTCGAAAATAGCCATTTTTAACTGTTGGGGGTCATTAAATGGTCTGCAGGACGCATGGCTCGAGTTGCAGAACTGTCAGGAGAGCCGGCTTAACTTCCTAGAGCCGGCTTACACTTCCAAAGCCGGCTATTCGGGTTTGCAGGCCATTCTATTTTCCTCGAGAGCCAGCTGCAAGACTTTGAGCCGGCTTTGGAATTTCGATTTTAAATACATTCAAAAGAGTCGACCGTTGTGCATTAAATGCACCCTCACAGCCGGCTGCAAAGCCAGAGCCGGCTTTGCATCTTTTCTCCACGCGCGCCAAGCAACGGTCTTCAAATTTTTGCCTGTAGAGCCGGCTACAACTTCCAGAGCCGGCTCTCTGCACTTCCATTTCACCAGAGCCGGCTGCAGCTTTTAAGAGCCGGCTCTCTGCACATTTTGAATCCTTTTGGTTTATTTTTAGTACAATCCAAGTTTACTTGCAATTTTTTAGTAACTTAACTACACACTTAAATAAACCAATTAGTCACTCAAATGTGTTTTGTAATCATCAAAATCATAGGTACAACAACAACTAGTGGATTGAAAACGTTATCTAAGGTAATTTTTTGTACGAAAGTGTTAGTAAATTAGAATTTTATAATTTTATTAACAAATTTACCCTTTTTAATTTTTTTAATTTTTGTCCACAATTTTTAATTAATACTTATCTATTTAGTTTTAACTTTATTTTTTGTCTTTAACAATATTAAATAAATATTACACTTTTATTTTTACATTAATTTATCATAAAAATATATTAGTTTAATAAACAAATTTTACCAATTAAATGAAAAAACTAAAATTTTTTTGAACTTTATTTAAAACTAATATAATTTTTTCTTTATTAAAAATAAAAATTAGTGTATGATTACATTATTATAATTCATTTATTTTTTATTATTTTTATAAAATTAATACTTTTAATAATAAAAAATATATAAAAGAAAAAATATATTTAATTGTTTTTAAACATATCCTTTTAAATAACAATTAATTATTGTATAAC